GAGCCAACTCCGCTCTTCGGTTAACCCAGGGTGGTGGGACCTGGCGTGCCAAACGGGAAGGGCCGGCGGGCTGCCGGATAAGCCTTGCTCCGAAGAATTCTGTGATTCCGCGCGGCCTGTGCCCTTGTGCCTTGCCCCACGCGGTGTCGTCTCCTCGGTTCTCCTGTTCCGCACCGAGCCGGGAACTGCAACGCAGGCGGGGGCAAGGAAGAGGGCCCCGTCGAACGTGTGGCTTTGCAGCAGGATGCCGAGAATATCCTGGATCAAGACAGGGAATAACGAAGAAGTACTGAAGTGAATCCCTAAAGACCAAGAAATAATAATCATAATAATAAAAGACAAACAAACATAAAACGCAGAAAGCTCGAATACCTCATTCCATAATGAAGAATGAAACGATTGCTACAGCTAATCATTCTGTGTTAAAGAAACGGGAAATAAGTCCAGAAAGGAGAAGAACTTACTGGCTCAAAAAACCTGGGCACGGACAGCCCTTCCTACAGCTTGCCAGAGGATTAGTCTACCTCTCTGCTATTTTCCCTCAGCACAAAACTTTATTTTCTCTCTAAGGGCTACTGTTCCCCTTGCTTCCCACCCCACCCCCTTAACCTTAGAATTAAAATGTAGAGATTTGAATTGTTTTTGTTAATGAAGAAATATAACCAACTGGTTGTTTTTTATGCATTTACCTATTATGGTGGAAGCATAGAACCACTTGGATTCAATAATCAACTCAAATGGAGATTTGTGTAAAGAAATCAAAAGGAAGCTGAGGCTAGGAAGGGCTGCTATGACTGAATTAGAAAAGGTCCCCAAGTGTAAGAATGTGTCACTGGAGACAAAGGGGAGGATCATCCATATCATAGTATTCCTGCAATAAAGGTGGGCAATTAAGAAAGCTAGCAAATAAATGTAATTTATTTTAAATTTGTTGGAAGAGAGAGCTTTATGAATACAATGGATTTTCAGAAAGACAAATTAATGGGTTCTAAGTTCTATTTCCATCATGGTGTCATGAATTGATTGTGGCGAACAGGATTCAAATCCCCACTTTGTGGTGGAAACTTTCTGGAAGAATGGATTGGTTGTTGTTTAGTCATTAAGTCGTGTCCGACTCTTTGTGACCCCATGGACCAGAGCACGCCAGGCCCTCCTGTCTTCCACTACCTCCCAGAATTTGGTCAAATTCATGTTGGTAGCTTCAGTGACGCTGTCCATCCATCTCGCCCTCTGTCATTCCCTTCTCCTCTTGCCTTCACACTTTCCCAACATCAGGGTCTTTTCCAGGGAGTCTTCTCTTCTCATTGGCCAAAGTACTGGAGCCTCAGCTTCAAGATCTGTCCTTCCATTGAGCACTCAGGCTTGTTTCCTTTAGAATGAATAGGTTTGTTCTCCTTGCACTCCAGGAAACTCTCAAGAGTCGCCTCCAGCACCACAATTCAAAAGCATCAATTCTTCGGTGGTCAGACTTCTTTATGGTCTAGCTCTCACTTCCATACATCACTACTTGTGATGTGTCTGCTTTTTAAGATGCTGTCTAGGTTTGTCATTGCTTTCCTCCCAAGAAGCAGGCATCTTTTAATTTCATGCCTGCTGTCACCATCTGCAGTGATCATGGAGCCCAAGAAAGTAAAATCTGTCACTGCCTCCAGATCTTCCCCTTCTATTTGCCATGGGACCAGTGGCCATGATCTTAGTTTTTGGAACTAAGTTTTGGAACTACCAGTGGAACTGGTAGATATTCTTAAATATCTCACTTACTTTGAAAGCCCTTTTAAGGTTGCTATCAGTCAGTTTACAATTAACGGTACAGAATACACACATACATCAAACCAAACCTGAATTCTCTCTAGAAGCAATAAATGGACTAACCTGAAGGCATCATATTTTGGACAAAAAATAAGAAGACAAGATTCATTAGGAAAAACATGAAATGGATTGACTTGATAAAAGAAGCCCTGGCTTTCAGTTTGCAAGAACTAAGCAAAGGTTTTAATTACAGGACTTTTTTTGGGGGGGGGCTGTCACTATTTAGAGTGGGGGTTACTAATTCATAGGCTTGCCGTAAACCAACAATGGCTCAACAGCACATAACAAATAGAACCATGGGGGAGGATAGTCGTGTCTATCATTCGGACAGGTACAGAAGAAAACAAGTTACTCAGATCACATCCGAAATCTGCAAAAGCATGCCCAAGCATGCTAAGATTATCCTTGTCCCATGGACAGAAAACTGAATGTTTTCATGCCTGCCATAAGTAAGTTTCTCCACAGGTAAACAGTGTTCTGTCTTCATCATTTCTTGGGAGTTTTGTAGACGAAAGAAACACTGATAAGGTGCTCTCAGTAATATTGCATCACACACCCTGTCCTCTGCATAGGCAGGATTTCACTAGTTGCAGCCGGATGTGGACAGGAATAAGAACCTAGGCGACAACAGTTTTAACAAGTATGTACGCCAAATTAACCTCTTAAAGTAACATAGCATGGAATAGTTATGGGATTTTTCCTTTGCATGGTTTATTTCAGCCACAGTATCCCTGTGTCGGAATAGTTATGGGATTTTTCCTTCGGCTGCTGAAATGTTTGCGTGGTTTATTTCAGCCACAGTATCCCTGTGTGCTTAATGTGTTTTGCCCCCTGTTATGGCTTTCAACAGCATTATGGTGACTTTATTTTATCTCCCTGGACTGAAACTGAATTTGACAGCTACTTGTTTGCTTCACACTCCATCATTCCACTCAAAATTGTGCCCAAGGCAGTTAAAAAGTAATTAAATGCAAATAAAATGGAAACATATTTAAAACATTAAAGCAAATCAATTTATATCATAAGTTAAAAACACACTTGCTGTTGTTGTTTGCTCTGCAGCTAGTGAGGTGTGTCATTTAAATTTAGCATTATGAAACATGCATTGCTATTTTGTATGTGTCCAGAGTAAACTGGATTATGCAAATATTCATATAAATAAACATATTGCTACATTCATACCCAGTGGATTCTAATTTTAGGATGTTTAAAAACGAAATTAAATAAATCGAGAGCTCAGTGGTTTAGGTCTCTGGCAGCAGAGCCTACAGACTGGGAGTCCCAGTTCCCTCCACGGTGCCTTCCTTGACAGGGGCTGGGCTCAAGATCCCATAGGGTCCCTTCCAACTCTGCAGTTCTAAGGATAGTATTATAATAATGCACTTCGCTCTCCACCTTCAATCCCTGTTAAATATACAGAACTGCCTTTTTACATGAAGGACAAGGCAACAGTAACATTTTGGTGAGTTCGCTTTGCCCTCTGTTCCTAACAAGGTCATCCGTTCCCACTGTTCCTTCTGAGAGACAGTGGTTCTGTGCCAAATGTGACAGGGAGGCACAGTGGTAAAAGAAAATGGCTCCGAGAATCAAGCAGGAAGGATAAAATGCATGTAGGCAACACTTCCTAGAGGATTATAACTCACAGGATTAGATGAGGACACGATTCTTAGAGCATAGGACCATATCTCCATGGAAGGACCATGGCCCAGAACAGCAATGGCCAGGGCCAGTCCTTGTAGGTCTCGAAAAGCCTGAAAGCCTGGAGAGCTGCTGTAAGTCCTGCAGACTGGACAGAGATGAACTAGTGATCTGCGTTATTCGGTGCTCCTTAGCAGTGACAAGAAATCTTGAGTGCATGCAGCTACCCACCCGCAATCCACTAGTGGTTCCATAAGTCATTTTCTAGATTATTGGTCAGCTCATTATAGGGTTGTCTCAAAACCATATTAGGTCTGGATTAAATAAAATAAAAAATAAATCAAAGTTATGGCTGAAACTATACTCATCCACCCCCTGGACCGCAGATCACACTTCCAGCCTTGCTCAAGTCATGAACACATTGATGGACAATTATTGAGCCTTACTTTTCAGGCGTGCCTTCGTTCCCTGTATGCTGCTTCATTAGTGGTACAGAAAAGCCGAAATGAAATAGAGGCTTTCATAGAGTTGATGTCCACAAGCAGCAGATTTGCAGTGCACTTCCATTCATAATTACATTGTGTTTAGCAATCTCTTCCAGCTTACCTGTATTAGGGTGACCTGAACCTCATTTTGTTCAATTGGTTTAAATATCCATTTTCTACTTCTCTCTTTCTCTCTCTTTAGGAAAACAAAGAGTAGAGCCTCCTCATGTTCGTGTATGATAACTGAATGGTGCACCAATGTGCTCATGTTTGAGTGAAGATGATCTGTGGTCTAAATTCCCTTGGCTTGAAAACTATAGCTTCAAACTGCACTTTTTTGCTTTAAATGAAAGGCTGCCCCCTCCCCCTATTTTGGGGACATAAGAACAGATTTGGGAAAATAAAGAGCTTTAAGTTGCCATTAAGTTGCTCTTTACTGAGTCAAGTTTGGAAAAAAAATATTCTCCAGCATTTGTTTCTGTGGTGGAAATAACATGGGAACTACCTATGAAATGAAATATAACAATTTAACTATAATACCATATAGTTATTCAGTAATCTTGCAGAAAAGGAACCAAACTAAAATTTAGTTACTGGGAAAAAGTGACCAGTCTATATAGACTAAAAAGCTTTGAAGATGGCTTTACAAGCTGACCACTGCATAATCACGGATATGCACGAACAGAAATAGGGCTCGCAGATCAGCTTTTTCAGAAAATTAGCTATGGTTAATTTATAAACTCAGTTTTGCTGAATTCCTAATTTACAACTTTGGTTGGGCTTGAGTTTGTGACAGTTTGTGAACAGGGCTAAAATTTATCCAAAATACAAAACAATTAATTTTGCAGAAAGAATATCCATTCTATGTGAATTTTTCCCCTGACGTAAGGAATGTAAGACATGTCTTTGGCACTGAAACTGGGATGCTGTGGGATTTAACTAGGTAGGTATTGTTCTTTCTCTTACTTGATGTGTTTTACCGTTTCCCCCAAAATAAGACCTAACCTGAAAATAAGCCCTAGTATGATTTTTCAAGATGCTCGTAATATAAGCCCTACTGCAAAAATAAGCCATAGTTAAGTGAAACCCTGCACCTCCACCATTGTGCAGCAACCAGAAGATGGCATGACTGTAAAATAAAACATCCCCTGAAAATAAGCCCTAATGCATTTCTTTGGAGCAAAAATTAATATAAGACCCTGTCTCATTTTTAGGGAAACACGGTACAGTAGTTGTGTTTTCAATCTGTTCTGTATTTTAATTGTATTTGCTTTCTTTGATTACTAGCCTTTCTGAGTACCATTTCTTTGGAGAAAGACAAGGTAAAGATGAAATGAAATGAAATTCTATAGATACTTTCCTCATATGCGTATGTTCTCCCCATCTGTTCTTTATGTAATTTTCTTCAATACTTTTGTGCATACCTTTCCTTAATATACATGTTTGTGCTTCTTTTTTCTTTCTTTTTCTTTGCAGTTATGAGTTGTATAGCAGATATAAAATTGTGCAAATGTGTTGAAAATTAGGTGTGCATGTGGCTTGTCTTACGGATTTAATAAGTCTGAGTTTAATAGGTCCATTTTAGAGCTGGCTGACATGGTCAGAGTAGGGTGACACTTTTTTGCCACACTGACACAGTGAGGTGCCTCTTTTGCCTGGATTATAGACTGTCAATGGTGAGTTTACACAAAAATTCACACCTGAGGAATTTACATTGCTGATTTTCAATATTCTTTTCTCTCCATTTATTTGCACACAAGAGACCTTATAACAGTTGTATAAAATACAGAAATAGGCATGTTGGCTATAAGATAAATTCTGAAATCCATGTTTTGATAATGCCAGCTATAAGGAAAAAACGTATTTGCAATCTTTCAAGACTTGCAGGTCCCTTCAACATAAAAGGCACAAAAATCTTTCTGCAACCTTTTAAAGATCTATCTTTTCTTCTTTTTAAATATACCGCCCAACAAATTTCAACTTGGAAAAAAAGGGGAGGGAAATTGGGTTTTTTGGCTGCTCCTGTTGCTTAGTCAGTTCTTAAATGCTCTCTTTTTCTTAATGCCATATAAATCTTAGGTTTCTTAACTGTTAATGTTTGTCTGCTTATCGATTAACTTGCTTATTGCATTACCTTTCCTATTGTTTACAGCACTACCACACCCTTTTCCTAGGCTAGTATGTGGGAATTTTATTGAGGCAACCTTTCCACCAGAAAAATGTATTTGCATATCTACATATCTGCTGGCTGTCTCTCTTCACTCCCTCCTTTCCCCAAACACACATCACAGACACATGATCACCAGAGCTCAGCCGGCCACAGGGAGAGAGAAATATGACTGTTGATTGTGGATGATCACAAGTGAAATAGCACATATTTTTCTCAGACTTTTCTATCTACCCCCAATTCCTTTCTACAGGAATTCAAAGTGATTCTGGGCATAAGAAACAGAGTTACTACCCTGCTTTCCCGAAAATAAAACCTAACCTGAAAATAAGCCCTAGTATGATTTTTCAGGATGTTCGTAATATAAGCCCTAACCCAAAAATAAGCCTCAGTTACGTGAACCCCCCTCCACCACTGTGCAGCAACCAGATGATGATGCCATGACTGTATTTGAATAAATGTAGATTGTTGTACATGAAAAAAAAATAAAACATTCCCTGAAAATAAGCCTGAATGCGTTTTTGGAGCAAAAATTAATATAAGACCCTGTCTTATTTTCAGGGAAACACGGTAACATAAAGTTGTCTGATCATCTGGAAGTTTCTCTGTAAATCTAGCAAGTGTTAAAATGGTATGACTTTAAAGTTCTGTGGCTTTTTCATACCAATCTGAAGCAGCATAGGAAACAAACAGTATGCTGTTAAATTGGGGTGTTTTTTGTAGTTTTACTGAATATTTTCAAGACATACAATCAGAATTAGAACATTTCCTTGTGTTTCTTTT